ATTCCTCCCATTTTGCAGGTGAGGAGCCCGAGGTTCCGGAACTTGCCCAGAGTTAGATGACTAGTGAATGGGTTCGAACCTAGGCAGCTGGCTCCGCCGGGCCCAATGGCGGGCAGGACTGTATCATGCCCTTTCTCATGAATTGTTGACCCCGCAGGCTCCTGCCAGCTCCGCCCCCCCCCCCGCCCGCCCCCGGCTACCCATCCTGGCTACCCTAGGTTCTTCCTGTGGTTTCTCTCTCTGTGGTACCTGGATTAGGAGGGTCTGGGCTTTGAAAGGGCTGATGGGCCGCTCGGGGTGGAAGGAGCTTTGGACATCACGCAGGAAGTCAGGCTTTAGCACGTAGCCGCAGGCACCGTTCTGGCGGAAGAGCCCATCATAGATGTCCATCTCAAGCCCCGCGGTCTGCACATTCATGGCCACTGTGGGCCCCAGGAGAAAGGAAGGAAGCATACATCTCAGGAGCCCTCTAGCCCCTCTTTCAGGGAACGAAGGAGATGGATTGGGTATCAAAGGGCCCGCTGGGAACAACCCCCCCCCCCCAGATTGCATCTTTCTTCGCGTAGCACCCTTCAAAGCATTCCCTGGCCCTCCTGCCACCGGGGCAGGTAACCCCTCCTGTTGCCCTTCCACTCCCTCTTCCGTGTCCCTGCCACCCCCTCACCCATCTGGCAGCCTGCGTTCCAGAGTTCCTGGGGGTTGTAGTTGGACGAATCTGTCCTCAGGCCACTGGGATACACACGGCTTAGCTGCCAGGCGTTGTGCTGCACAAACTCATTGCCTGTATAAAGGGCGTAGTAGGGAGATGACCCCCCCCCCCAACTTCCCTGGCCTCAGGTTCACCACCTACCCACTTGACTCTTGTCTCCAGCATCTCCTGAGGCCAGGCCCAGAAAGCTTCACTGGGCCTCTCTGTTCCATGCTGACCGTCTCCCCCAGCTCTCCTCCCCCTAGAGCCTTGGGCCCCCTGCTCAGAGCTCCTGACCCTGTACCTGCTCTGAGGAGTCGCTTAGCTCCCTCATCCCCCCTCAGCCCCTCGGTCCTCTTTCTTGGGACTCATGTGCCTGCCCAGCAGCCTGACCCTACCCATCCTACTTCCCTCCCTGGCCCTCCCTTTTGGTCCTGACCAGCCTCCTTGATGAGGCTTCTGGCCTTGGTTTCAGAGAAAGATGAGGTCTCATAGAAGCGGTAGTGTTCCCTTGAATGAGTGAAGCTGTGGAATGAGACAGACTTCAAGTAGACAACCAGGGCAGAGAGGGATGAACACAAGATGGGTTTGGATCTCTGGAAAAAGAGAAAGTAGAGAGGAAGACGGAATTGAACCCTCAGGGGTCTGAGAAGGAAAGAAGCGATGGCCAGGATCTGAATTTCCCCGTCCAACCTAAGCCTCTGCCCGCTGCCTCCCCTTTGCGTTCTCCCTCCTGCCTCACCTGCTTGGGAAAGAGAAGGGGCCCAGGCTTGGAAATAGGAGCCTGAACCACAACCTCACAACAGACAGGCGGACAAAACAGCGGACACATCACAACCTGGGGATGGGAATGGGAATAAAAGCAGTCTACATACCCTCATGGGATCGGTTTCAGCCTCTGGGCTTAAAGGGTCTGCCCTACTGTTACTTTCTGGGTAACAGGTTCTTAATGATTACTTTTAAGCAGAGAGGTGTCCTCCTCTCTACCTCCCATCTTTTAAAACAATTTAATAGTATAGTTTGGTCAAAATGTACACGAACCCAGACAGATATGTCAAGGTATGCAAATGGCCAGGAAAGTCGCGCCAGAAGGATGTGAGGGTCCCAGAGTAATATCGTTATAATCTTCTGCATTCCCATTTCCTTCCCTGGACACGGTAGCAGGTTAGACACCACAGCCCCAGAGAGGAGAGGGTAAGCTAGAAGTTAGTCAGCTAAGTCAGGGAAGTGCACGAGAAGGAGAAAGGCAGACTTCTAACCAGGATCTTGGCAGCCCCACCAATGGCACCCCTTCCCCACAGGGAGATGGACCAGACCACTTCGGCACAGTCTTCGTAGAGCCTTCACCTTCCCCAACTCTTTCTGCTCCTCCTTTTTGGCTACTTCTGGCCCCTTCTCAGACTCACCTTTTCCAAGAAGCTTTCTCTAAGCCCATTTCAGATGAGGTCACAGCAGTCACTTCAGGAGTCCTACGTCCCCAGTACAACAGTGCAGGGTGTACACTCTTTCTCTCTCTCTCTCTCTCTCTGTCACACACACACACACACAGCAGTGTTTTTCAAACTGGCCTTAATTTAAAGAGACTGAGAAGAAGTACAAAGATGTCTCAGGAGTCAACAGGGGACCTGAGAGAGCCAAATGGGTGCTTCAACTAGGATGGCTCCGCATTGATCTCTTTTGTATACAGAGCTCCCATATAAGATTTCATTCAAAAACGATTCCATGGCCCAAAGAAGTTGGAAAGCCACTGTAATCTATCTACATATGACAATATGTCGTGATGTCATGCACGCATCCTTACACCTCTTTTATTGGGGGCAAGGGGCATTTTGCTCCTCGGCCCTCCACCCTGCCCGGCTCTAGTCTCTCCACACATGAACTCAGCTTACGGTACAGACTGACCAAATGCTAGAGCAGAAAGACCACTCTCCTGGCCCACCTTCTCCTTCTTTTTGTCCTTACTGCGTGGGCTCAACTCCTGGGGCTCAGACTCCAGCTGGGCCTCTAGCTCCGGGTCAGCTTCCTGCTCTCTCTCCAGTTCAGACTCTAGCTCTTCCTCCTCTTCCTCTTCCTCAAGATCCTCCTCAAGTGTCCTTAACTTCTTCCCCTTCACCAAGATCTTCCCCCGAAGCTCCTGGAGACAGAAATGAAGGGACTCCTTTACCTGTCTGCTCTGGGGGCCATGCAGCTCCCACTGTTCTCACAGGCAGAGGAAGTGAGTGGCCAGAAGTCCCCACAGGAGGGCTGCTTGATACATACAGTAGGGATTCCCTATTGTTAAGCCAACTTGTCACATCTCCATCCAATTGGAAAACAATACAAAACAAAAAATACCTCACTCTTGACACAGAGAGATTCCTCCCAGATTAAAGATTTACATGTAAATATAATGGACATAAGAGTATTAGAAGAAAATAGAGAATCTTTTTGGGGCGCCTGGGTGGCTCAGTCGTTAAGCGTCTGCCTTCGGCTCAGGTCGTGATCCCAGGGTCCTGGGATCGAGCCCCGCGTCGGGCTCCCTGCTCCGTGGGAAGCCTGCTTCTCCCTCTGCCACTCCCCCTGCTTGTGTTCCCTCTCTTGCTGTGTCTCTCTCTGTCAAATAAATAAATAAAATCTTTAAAAAAAAATAGAATCTTTTTGAATAATCTTAAAGTGGGAAAAGCCTTTAGAAACAGGAGATGAGGGGTGTGTGGGTGGCGCAGTCGGTTAAGCGTCTGACTCTCGGTTTTGGCTCAGATCATGATCTCAGGGTCCTGAGATCAAGCCCTGTGTTGGGTTCTGCGTCGGCAAGGAGTCTGCTTGAGATTCTCTCCCTCTCCCTCTGTCCGCCCCCACCCCCGCCGCTCTCTCTCTGTCAAAAAAGAAAAGAAAAGAAAAGAAACAGGAGATGATAACTCAGAAGACATAAAAAGCACTGGCCAATTTGACTACATAAAGCTTAAAATCCTCTACAGGGCAGAAGATGCTATAAGACAAAAGCAAAGAATGCAAAAACAAATTTCCCAAAGCATCAATGTCTTTAACATTTAAAAACTTGTTATATACCAATAAAGATTATAAACCCCAATAAAAGTGGGTAAATAATATCAATTAATTCAAAAGAAGAAAATATAGACCTTTCTTTTTTTAAAAACTTGACTTTTTTTTTTTTTCCACATTTGCCACTATGAATCATCTTACTACTGGAGATATTTGTGGCCCGTCTCTTACACTGTTGGTCAGAGTGCAATTTGCTATTTTTTTCCAGAGGGCAACTTGGCAGTAACAACCAAAATATCAACATGCAAACTCTTCAACCCAGCAATTTACTTCTAGGAGCCCATCTCAAAGAAAGAGTAAATGGGGCGCCAGGGTGGCTCAGTTGGTTAAGCATCCGACTCTTGATTTTGGCTCAGGTCATGATCTCAGGGTCGTGGGATTGAGCCCGGTGTCAGGCTCCGTGTGCAGCAGGGAGTCTATTTGAGATTCTCTCCCTCTGCCCCTCCCCACCCACCCCCGCACACTTGCGCTCTCTATCCCTCTTTCTCTCAAATAAATAAATCTTTTAAAAAAAAGAAAGAAAGAGTAGATGGACAAAGCTGTATGTACAGGTGAACAATTACCAACAACCTGTATGTTTACCATTTACTGGTTGAATAAATAATGGTTCGTAAAAGAAAATGGAATACCACAGAGCTATTAAAAGGAAAAAAATTATACATGAAAAGACATCCATGATATATGTTGTATGTGAGATATAAAAAGGATATAGAAAATGACCCCAAGCATTTTTTAAAGTGTGAATATATATACACATATATGTTTATATAAGCATTTACAAAAATCTCTTAACACCTGTTATGGGAGAGGTTGAGATTATGGTGGGGGGATTTCCTTTTCTCTCTATTGTCTGTACGTTCTACAACAACTATGAACTATCCGGGAAAAAAAATCAAGATATTTCCATTGAAAAAAGAAATAAGAAGTAAACAATTGATTTCAAATTTAGAAAACGATAAACAATTCTGCATTTTATTGGACTTTTGGAAAATTAAAGTTGTCTCCAAGGATATTAAAGAGCAAGATGGTCCATGTAAGTGTGAGAATAAGAGAACAGGAGGGGCACGGAGGGGCACAGTAGGGAGGGAATGCAAGCCACAGCAGAGCCCGGGCTGGGGGAACAGGGTGCCTACCTCAGGTGAGGGCAGCTGTGTGGGCAGAAGCCCATCCAAGGTAGTGCTCAGCAGTTGCTCCCCCAAGATCTCGGTCAGATGGCAGGCCATGACCTGCTGCTGCTCCCAGCTGCAGTGGTTCTCCAGGGACAAGATGACTGGATAGTCTGAGGTCTGATGGGGAAGGGAAGGAACGCTAGAGCCAGAGGTCTAAAGCATGCAACCTCCCTGCTTCTCCGGACCCTGCCCCCCACGCCACTCCCCACCCCCCCCCCCCCCCGGTGACTCACTCAGAGTACCCTGATTGCTAAACCCCTCTCTGACCCGATTCGGGACATCAAGGAGGTCTTGCTGGGTCTGGGGCCCACCTCACATCTCAAACTCACTGTTGGGATCCCAAATCTCAGACCTATACCAGGTGTGACCCAGGTCCCTCTGGGACCTTTGAGTTTTTAGGCTCAGCGTGGGACAGCTAGGCCATTCCCCTGATTATGTGTTCATGTTACACTCTCCTCTCCAGACTCCTGTTTTCCCCCAGCCCTACCCACCACTTTCTCGGTTTCCTTAACCACCCTCTCCGAGATGGGTGACAGTTGTTAGAAGTAATAGTCACTGAGCTCTAGCAATTACCTCTAGGACTACTAATTACTAGTGACACATCCAACCCTTATTCATAATCCCTTAATATTTGCCTGATGCTTCACAGTTAAAATCTCTTGAACATCTCTGCCATTTGACATAACCTCCCCTGCATCCATCTACCTTCCGCAGATGCAGAGCCAGCCACTCTTCCCTCAGATCATCTTCCCTCACCAGTATGCCCATCGCGGGACTCCTACCTGGAAGGCGTACTGGGCTACAGTGGCCACGACATCTTTGAATGGGATGCGGGAGGTCAGGGTGTGTCCATGGTAAACGATAGGTTCCCCGCTAGGTCCATCCCATATATCCACCTCCACGCAGCGGCACCCCCTCTTCAGGGCCCTGCAAGAACCCCAAACCCCCAGGGACAGAGAGGTCAAGGTCTTATCTTCCATCTAGGGACTCTCTCCCTACTCTGGAGAGAACAGTGCTCACTGGCATTTAGTTGTCAAGACCCCCTCAAGCTACATCTCCGCAGACCCTTCTCTGTCCACCGAGATACTGCTTTGGCTCACTACCTCCACCCCCCACCCTCCCCAACTTACAATCTTCCTTCAGCAAGTCATCACATACTGCCTCATGATACTTCTGGTGTTCTGGTTGTATAGCATTCTGCAACACCTGACTTAGTCAAACTCTCAGTAATTTTGTTTGTTTGTTTGTTTTTAAAGTAAGCTCTATGCCCAACATGGGGCTTGAACTCATGACCCCGAGATCAAGAGTTGCATGCTTTACCGACTGAGCCAGCCAGGCGCCCCTCAGACTCTCAGTAAATTTATACTTTATTTTCTCTACTAGACTTCCTAGGGCAGAAGCAATATGTTCCACTCATCTTTTATACCCTGAAGCTACTAGTTCAGTTGCTGCCACTGCAAAGATATCTTGACTCTTTGATCCAATCCATGATTAATCACGATAAAAGCAGATATCACTTATTAGCTATTAACACATGGATTATCTCATTTAGCCCTCACAACAACTCAGACAGAATAGGCAATGTTATCATATTTCATAGATGGGGATACTGAGACACGGAGAAGTTAAATACTTAGAACCAGAGTACCAGTGAGAGAACTAGGATTTGACCTCATATGGTCTGACTCCAGAACCTATGTTTCTAACTTCTATGCTCTATACCGCCTTCCATGTAACGTTTAGTTTAGTGTTCAAAATAAATCTTCCAGGACCTCTGAGTTTCAAGAGAGTTTCACAGCCTATGAAAGCGAGAGAAGCTCCATTTACCCACAGAGTTTCAATACTACTCTCCTGTCAGTCTTCAACATCTCTTCCAAGTCTCTCAGGTATCCAGGGGTCCTCAGCCCCAAGCCCCCCACAACATCTTTTCATTCCCTGTTATCCACTGATAGAACAGATGGCCACTTCTCATAAGCTGGAGCCCTTTCCCCTTCTTTCCCACTGCACCGTATATATCCCTCGACGCTGCTCTGGCCACAAAGCTGGTCCCCCACGAGGTAGGTGTTGTGAGAGGAGTTGATGTAGTAGTGGTTCAGGGGTTGAGTCATATCCTGGTAGATGGGGAGGCAGGTCGGGTTGAAGATATCTCCATCCTTCGAGCAGAGATAGCTGAGGAAGCCATCCATGCTCAGCACGTGTCGCAATTTGCCTACGGTGTGGAGTAGGGGAAGGCTACAGTGAGAAGCTCTGAGCGAGGGCATCCCAGCACACCTCTAACCCATCCTGCACCTCGCCCCTCTCCAGGGTCCTGCCTTTCAGATGGTGTCCATTCTCAGCCTCCAGATCCCAAACGTGCCCCACCCACTGTCTGTCATTTCAATCATCCCCACCCTCAGAGAGAGTTAAAGCTACGAGGAGAATCGTTAAGATCATTCTAGTTCACTAGTATCCAACAGAACTTTCTGCAATGATGGAAATGTTCTGTCCTGTGCGGTCCAGTATGGCAACCTTTAGACACATATGGCTACTGAGCACTTGAGATGTGGCTGTGTGACTGAAGAACTGAATTTAAAATTTTGATTTTAATTAATTAATTGAAAGTTTTTATTTATTTATTCATTTAAGTAATCTCTACACCCAAAGTGAGATCAAGAGTCGCATGCCTTTCCAACTGAGGCAGCCAGGCACCCCAATTTTAGTTAATTTAAATTTATTTTATTATTTTTAAGATTTTATTTATTTTTTTAGATAGAGCATGTATGCGTGTGCACGTGCGCAAGAGCGGGGGGCCAGGAGCAGAAGGTGAGGGAGAGAGAGAATCCCGAGCAGACTCTGCTGAGCACAGAGCCCAATATGGGGCTCAATCTCACAACCCTGAGATCATGACCTGAGCCAAAATCAAGAGTCGGAAGCTTAACTGATAGTCACACAAGGACCCTGTTAATTTAAATTTAAATAGTCACACAGTGGGGCGGCTCAGTCAATTGAGCATCCATTCTTGGTTCCAGCTCAGGTCATGATCTTGGGGTTGTGGGATTGAGCCCCATATGGGGCTCGGTGTTCTGCACTCAGCCTGGAGTCTGCTTGTCCCTCTCCCTCCCCCTCTGCTCTTCCCCCTGCTCATGTGAGCACCCGCACTCAAGCTCTTTCTCTCTCTCTCTCTCTCAAATAAATAAAAATCATTAAAAAAAAAACCTTTAAAAAATAGTCACAAAGAGCTCATGGTTACCATAAAGGACAGCATAGTATTCGGTGTAAAGGGTTAATTTTATATATGGGGAAACTGAGCCCAGAGAGGAACAAAGTTGAAGACACTTGAGCGACACGACCAAGGTACCTGTGTTTTATTCCCTGGCCTGTGAGGCTGATGCCAACTATGACCTGAGGGTTTCTTCCTATCACCAGTTCCCATATGGTGTTCTGCAGAGTGGTCATCCAATATACCCCTGGACTACAACACACCCTCTGTTTGAGGGCAGGGCCCTGTCACTCCTGCCACAGCCCTCACCCATGTCAGCATGGGCTTCATACAATACCAACAACAATGACTAGTACTGAGCACTTGCTCTGTGCCCAGGACGTCCCGTGCAGCATCTCTCTTAATGTTCTCGCCAACGTGATGAAGTAGATAGAATATAATCTGCCCTGAGAGGTTAGGTAACATAACTAGTAAGTGAAGGAGCTGGGGTTTGAACCCCGGACGTCAGGTGTCTTAGCCACGCCAGTCCCACCAGGCCGTGCAGTCTCACTGAGGGCAACATTGCTGCAGGGGGGCTCCCGTGGGAGGTGGAGCAACTCGACTCTAATGACCAGCTTCGTTGCTCCCGCTTTGACAAGGCTACAGATGGTGGAGAGCGGCAGGAAGTCAGGCAGGAGGTTTTATTCTTAACAGTAAGAACTTAAATTGCAAGAGAAAATCCACAGTTGCCAGATACTTTTCATGTATGTCATTTCATTCGATCACCAATTATTTTACAAATGAGAAAATCGAGCCCCTGCTAGATTAAGCAGCTTGCCCAGGGTGACTCAGTTAGTAAGCAGCAGAGTGGGGCCTTGAGCCCGGGTTTCCTGGCACAGACTATCCTCTGCAGCCAGAATATTGTACCTGACAGTTGAGTGCAGGGGAGGGAACACCACCCAGAGGGGCAGGTGGTAGAATAAATGTAACTGATGTCTACTGGGTCCTGCACTGGAGATAGAAGTTCCTATTTCTTGGGGGGCCTAGGTGGCTCAGTCAGTTAAGTGTCTGCCTTCGGCTCAGGTCATGATCCCAGGGTCCTGGGATCGAGCCCCGCATCAGGCTCCCTGCTGAGCAGGGAGCCTGCTTCTCCCTCTCCCTCTGCCTGCCGCTCTACTTGTGATTCCTCTCTCTGTGTGTGTGTCAAATAAATAAATAAAATCTTAAAAAAAAAAAAAAGAAGATCCTATTTCTTAATCCTCAGGCATTCTTATTCTATTTATTTTTCTGAAATGATTGCTTTACAGCCCCCTTTCTTCTCTGAGCACGGACTTGAATCTGGAATCAGGGATTCCAACCCTTTCTGTTTGAGTCTCAGTTCCATGAGGGCAGCGTTCTTGTCGGACCTTCTGCTGTATCTCTGGGGCTGAGCAAAAGTCCTGGCCCATTACAGGGGTTCAATAAGCGTTAGCTGAAGTAGTGAGTGAATGAATGAATAAAAGGGGTGGGAGTTGAGACCTAGGAAATGTGGGTCACTTATCCAGCTCTCATTCATCTCATCTCTCTCTCTCTCTCTCTTTTTTAAGATTTTATTTATTTATTTGAGAGAGAGAGAGTGTGCGAGCAAGTGCACAAGCACAAGAGCAGGGGCGAGGAGCAGAGGGAGAAGAGCCGAGGGAGAGGGAGATATAGACTCCCCGCTAAGCAAGGAGCCTGATCCAGAACTCAGATCCCAGGGCCCCGGGATCATGACCTGAGCTGAAGGCAGACGCTTAACCGACTGAACGACCCAGGTGCCTCTCATCCATCTCATCTCTAATCCTCATGCTCAACAGAGGTATTAGGTAAGGGTCAGGTGACCCGGGTTTGAATCCCAATTCCTCCTCTCATTAGGCTTTGGCTTTGAGCAAGTCATTTGATCTTTCTAAATCCGAGTTTTCCTCTTTTGCACAACTGACTTAATAACAGAAGCCACTTCAACTGGTCATTGGAATGATGAGAAACGACATGTAGAGATGTTAGCACATTAATGGGATACTTAGCAGAGGCTGAATAAGGATTATTCTCCTGATTTACAAGATTGTAGTGAAGGTTAGAGGAAGTAAGTGATGTGAAAGTAACTTGTAAATCATTTATTATTAATGAAAATTCCTCGTATTCTGAAGGGAATGGAGGGCAGGGCGATGTCTACTGAAGGGGCAAGGAGAAAGGGCTGAAGACAGAAAGGGCGTATTTGAGCTGTGCTTTTGCTGAAAGAAAGCCTCCTCCTCACCCCCTCAGCCGGGGACTGACTAGCTTCCTGGCCCAGAGGCTTAGCCACTCAAGAACCACTTGGAGAATTTGGAGAAAGCCCAGGAAGGGGCAGAGAGCCAGCATTTAAAGAGACAGCAAACAGGAACCATGAAGAGAGCTGGAAGAAAAGGAATTAGGCGCTAGAAGAGAAGCCAAAAGGAGAGGACCAAGGATCTCCCTTTTCCGCTGGGGACAAATGCTGACATCAGGACGAACTTATTCTGAAAGTGAAGCATGAGCATAGTGGAGGAAAGGAGACTTGTGGAATGTTCTTCCTCCTGAGCGATACAGCATTACGGAGGAGACTCCTGTCTTATCTGGGCAGGAAACTGCTGCTCTCCTTCCCAGGGAGTGGTTGAATGAGATGAAGATGCTTGCACAGGGGCTGGGGCAGGCGTGGGCTCAGCCTTCCCTGAGTTAGGCAGAAGGTGGCTTGTCTCTGGACCTTTCTAAGGTCCCCCCTCCTCGCCCATGCCCAGTGCCTCTCCACCCTGGCCCTCTTACCACTATCTGAGGGCTCGTAGCGGTCGATGAGGTCCAGAGCAAGGTCAGAAGCTCGCTCTCCTTCTTTCTGCTCCTCTTGGAGGAAATCTACAAATTCCAGCAGGGTCAGCTTCTGCCCATCGGCCGAAAAGTTTTCAAACAGCTCGTGCACCTCAGTACGTTTAGTCAGCGCCTTATAGAACTCTACAAACTCTTCTCCCTCCAGAGTCCCAGACTCGGATGTGTCTGCTGCCTGCAAGCAAGGGTGTAGAGGATGGTGGAAAAATCCTTTTAAGAGCATATTGTGTGGCTTTGACCTGTCCTGTAAGAGCAATCTTGCTGACAGGTGGATACAAACATCTTTCCGCAAAATTCTCCCAGAACTCCTGACACTTTGTGTTCATAGAAGCCGCTTCGGTAAGTAAGAAGCAACATGGCAGCCGTACCATTTGCTAGTAGAGAAAAATTTCAATCAGAAAGGGTTAAATGCCCCAACAAGTGCCTAAGAGTTTAAAAGATCCCTCCTCCTATTTTATTCACATTCCAGTTGGACTTTTCCCTTGTTACTAGGCACCTGGGAAGTTCTGGCCAAGGACGGAGAGGTCCTTGAGGTCTGACACAGTAACGTATGGTTGTTTACCCTTCATAAGACTATGAATTGCCTTTCTAAGAAGACTGAAGGGTGAGAACCATGCCCTACGCTTTCCATCGAGCCTGGCATAGTGGTAGGGCATATAGGAGAGATTCAACAAAGAGTGATGCTGAATAGGGTCAGGTACACCTGGCCACGTGAGAACACGGCCTTGGCTGGCTTCTGAAAATCCTTCCCTAAAAGACTCACTTGGAAGAGCTGGAAGGCATAGTCTTGGTCCATTTCCACATTCATCAGGTGCAGTAACCGCTGGACCTCGTGGAAACTCATCCTGCCGTCCTGGTTCCTGTCTCCACGCTGGAACCAGTCACTCAGCCATCCAGGTGGGAGTCAAGGCAAAAGCACTGTGTGTGTTCGTGTGTGCGGATGTGTGTGCATGTTCATCCACTGACAGCGCCTCCCCTAGCTTTGCTACAAGTCTCTCCTCCATGCCAATGCGTTTTCCATATTAGCTTCCAGAATAATCTCCCCCGAGCACCAGTCTGTCTTGTCCCTGCATGGCTCAGGTGCCTGCAGGGTCCCCCCTGTTGCTTGCAGAAAGAAACCCAAATTTTTTAACGTAGATTGAAGGTCTTCACCCCCACAATCTGGCCCCCACGCAGCCTTCTCAACACACCTCTGTCCTCCCCGTACTTTAGCCAGACTCTCCCTCCTGCTCTTCAATGTCCTATCTCTGAGACTTTTCTCATGCTGTTCCCTCAGGCAGCGGAGCCTTCCCCCTCCTTTCTTTATGTTCAAGTTCTACTCTTTTTCAAGGCTCAGCTCAAACTCAACTTCCTCCCTGATGTTTTTCTCAGAACTCTCTCAGCTAGAATTAAATATTTCTCCTTCCTTGGAACACCCACAAATAATTTCAGTCCCATAACACTTCTAGGGTACTTAGATGATTTACACAATTCCATTTTCTCCACCGACTAAAACAATGCCTGAGTCTCATTAATATTTGTGCCTCTAAAGCCTGGCACAGTGCCTGATACCTTCTGCTCAATAGATGGTGAATGAATGAATGAATGAACGAACGAACAAATGAAAAAACGGCCTGGCATGGAAGGTGAATACAATCTAGGAAACCTGAATGAGTCAACACCACAAAGTTCTGCTTCCCAGTCCTACGGTAAGCTAATGCCACTGGGATCTTCTGATCGGCTCTCAAGATCAGCACCTTGTTTGGTCCTTTGTCTCTCACCATCCCTCCCACCAGCCCTGAAGGGCCTGATTTCTGCCTACCCTCTGCCTGGTTATGTCTTTGTCATGACAAGCCTCCATTACATCTTCAATATCCTCTGCCTCACAGTGGCCTGAGCTGTCCTTGCCCACCCCATCTGGACTCTTAGGCCTCCCTAGCGCAGCATGCCAACCCCCACCCCCCGCCCCCGGCCCCGTCTCTAGCCCTGCAGCATCTGACTCCTTCAGTGACCCCTGCCCCCCCCCTTCCGACTCCATCCTGCTGATACTGATCCAGCCGCTCCTGTTGGTCCATGCCGGTAACAAATTCCACCAAAAGCTGGAGCCCCTGCATCCATATCTTGGCCTCCTCGATGCTGTTGGCCACCAGGTCCAGGTTGGAGCGGCGGCCGTGGAAGACGATGGTGAAGCCCTGCTCCAGGGGGAGCTCCTCTGCCAGGCTCCGCAGCAGCTCGGACTCGTGGCCCTCGCGCACCGTCTCCACATCAGAGATCGAGACTACCAGAGAGGAAACAAGGGGGCACGGGGTGGGGGGGGGAGAGAGTCCGCCGAGTTGCAGGAGTGAAGGATTAGGGACCCTTTAAGGAGCCATAGGGAGGAGGAAGCCCAACCTCCCTCCGCAGGATGAAACCCCCAAAGACTGGGTACGGGAGATGCAGACCCCTGGGATTCAGGATTCCCCGTGAGTCGCTGCCATGTTCAGAGGCAGCATGCCAAGGGGCCCATGCTGGGAGTGTGACACAGACCAAAATGACTTAACCCCTCAGTACCCTCGTCTGAAATAGGGGATGGTCCCTTCTATGGCCAGTCCACATGGTGACCACTGGCGGGGCTGACGGGATGGAAACACAGTTAAAGGTAGAAGCGGTTACACCAAAGCATGATATGTCCAAGTTCAATTTCCCCGTTCCAGGTTTGAGGGCCTCCTCTTTCCAGCTGTCTAAGAAAGCACCAGAGAAATTCTTCCACCCCCTTTCCTCAGCTGGGGTTGCTGTGGATCGTGAGCTTTGATTATGTCTCTAAAGCAGACTCTCTCAGATGTGTCCCGTGATCACGTTTTTAGAGGGGTCATAAAGCGTCTGGTCAACGGGATGCACATTGTTGTGCTGCATTTGTGATATTTAAAAATATTCCTCATAGTGGCTAATTTGTGAAATGCATCCTGGCTTCAGGGGCCACGCCAGGTGCTTTGTACATTAACTTACTGAGTCTCCGTAACCTTCTAGCAGGTACTATTCAATCCCCATTTTGCAGATGAGGAAACTGAAGCTTAATGTAACTTGTCCAAAGCCACTCAGCTAGAAAGTGGCAGAGCGAGGGCTTTGATCTGGGCAGTCTGATGCGTGAGATCATGCTCTCACTATAATAATAATAAATATAACCTAGGATTTATTGAGCCTTATTATGTGCCAGGGCACTCCTAAGCCTTTTACATGCAGTAACTGATTGAATCCTCATAAATAGCCTTAAGAGGCAAGTACTGTTATAATTCCCACTTTCCAGCCTCAGAGGTAGATGCGCAAGGACACACTGTAGGACCCAGGTCCCTCCCCTGCTCTCAAGCACCTGGGCTCTTCAGAGTCTGATCCCCCCACCACACCCACGCCTAGCCATCCACGTGACTCACAGGTGGGCTTGGCAGTGCCTCCTGCCTGCCGGGCATGCCAGACTGTCATGCCATCATCCTGAAGCCTGAAGTATCTCAGTTTCTTCCAGCTTTTGGACCTCACCTTGCGCATCAGCATGCCCTTCTGCATTAGCAGCAAATCTGGATTGATGGGCAGCCCTGGGCCAGGAGAAGAAGGGGCTGGCTGGGTAGCTGGTGGGAAGGGTGGAGGGCCCAGGAGGAGCTCTTGAACAGGGGTCCAGACTCCTCCCCTCCTCCCCATCCCTGGGCTGTCTCCTGAAACCCTCCCCTCCTGCTGGGGTACTCACGGCCTTGCATCAGAGACACCATTACCCACTGCTCCGCCAGCTGGTGCCAGAGTCACCTGGAGGAGCACAGAGGAACAAAAGGCTCTGGGTTAATACTGGTGATCTTAGAATAACAGATCAAAGGAGGAAGAGAAGGAAACCCGTGCGTCCTGACTGCCCACGGTGTGCCAGGCACTTCATCTACATAGTCTTTAGCTCTTTTTTACTTTTCGCTTGAGTTTGATGACTTTGAGGCTTAGAGAGGCTAAGAAACTTGCATCAAATCACATAAGGATTCAGAATTTAGAGCCAAATATGTCTGATTCCACAGCGTCTGCTGTTTCCCATTGCCATCACCAGAGAGGACTACACCGGGGCTTTCTGCCCAACACCCCAGAGTCACACCCTTCAGCTCCTCATTATTAAGGACCACCATCTTGCTGGCTGTCCCCTTTCAGAACCTGGAATCTCTCTATATCCTAGCCTTCTCTTCTCCAGGGGGAATCACCTCAGCTGCTCTATCTTGGGAGCCCTCTCCATGGTCCCGTGCAGACCCCCCAGCTCCCAAGGGGCCAAGGCAGAATGCTACTTTTGCCTCTTCGGTGACACTTAGTACCATACTTGTTACATAAGCCACATTCTTCTGCCTTCCCATGGTAAAGCACACTTTACTTGTCATAACAGTTATTCCCAACAGCTTAACGGACCAGGTGAGTTACGTAGTCTTAAAAATGCATTTTCAAGTTTCCTGTGCCTCCTGAAAAAGAGAGCCCACTTTAAGATGCATGCTAATTTAGGATCTGGTTAAGTTGTCCTAGTAGGTAAGAACAAACTCCTCTTGAAAAGAACCAGAAGAGGGGCGCCTGGGTGGCTTAGTCGGTTAAGTGTCTGCCTTAACCTCAGGTCATGATCCCGGAGTCCTGGGACTGAGACCCGGGTTGGGCTCCTTGCTCAGTGGGGAGTCTGCTTCTCCCTCTCCCTCTGCCTGCCCCTCCCCCTGCTTGTGCGTGCGCTCTCTCTCTCTCTTGCTCACTCTCTCTCATAAATAAATAAATAAATAACTTAAAAAAAAGAGAGAGCCAGAAGACTTGATATGCAGCCACACTGATTCTAGCTCAGCCCCTCTAAGAAATTCTCAACTCTTGACCAAATCATTCTGGAACTGGCAAAGCGCAAGAAACATAGAGCTCAAGGCTTTGCGAAAGCAAAGGAACTGCACTTGAATAGAAATGCTATGTTTTTTAATTGATAAGTTTAAATTTTTGACAATGGTGAGCATCTAAAACACGAAAAGCATCTCTAAAGCAATCATTCAGTTGGTGCTCCATTAGAACATGGTGCAGTTCAACTCGCTAGATCTCATCAACGAAAAGCAGAAGTCCAGAAATGATTTGTGACTTGTCCAGTGCCTTCTTTCTCTTTAGCTGGAAGAGCCTATCAAGTCACCCAAGGGTGACTAAATCTTTAGGAAAAATGTAGAGGTCACTGAAAATACAGCTCCCCTGACTGGAGGACCTAGAGAAGGCTTTTTAAAGGAGTAGCAATATGCAGGGGCCCAGAGGGAGAGGGGAAGGTTGGGGAGCCACACTGTACCTAAGTGGGAAAGATAATTCAAGGCAGCCCTCAGGAGAGACAGAATCCTGCGGCAGTTCCAAAAAGCAAAGGTTTTGCTGGCTGAGGCTGAATACAGTGAGCCTGGGTGAGATCAGAAGAAGCCTCTGGATGGAAGAAGGGACCTAGGGTGCTTCATGAGCGGCAGAAAAGCAGCCCTGCTTGGAATCTAAGGCTCACAAAAACCGAATGAAGAGTGAAATAACAGGTCCCTCCTAAATGTCTCAGGTCCCCAGACTCCAGTGGAAGGGGGAAGCCTGGGGTTCTGATCCCCCTTGCCAATATCCTTCCTTACCTCCTCTTTGAATTTCAGCTCCCATGTTTGGGGCATAGGGACCTTGGGATGGGGTGGATCTCAGCCCTGGGAGACGACAGAATGCCCTTTCCTTACACCTGTGTCCAGGAACCTCACAATCATGTCCTGAAACGTGCTGGGACACCCCTATTTTGGAGCCTATCTCCTCTCAAGAAAGCCTTAGAAAATCATTTTATGCATTTTGGTCAAACTCTTCCAACCCCAGGGTTTGGCATGCTCTTCCAATCCTGCTCCCATTCCTGACTCACTATTTTAAACCTATATCCAGGTGACATGTGGCCATATGAGGGCCGATTTCAACTCGAGGAGCCACAGAATGTCAGAGCTGGACTTCATTTTATAGAGAAAGGCTAGAAAGATTAGCTGAACTGCCAGAGTCATCGAATGAATTACGTGGCAGAAGTGGGACCAGAACCATGGTTTCTTGTGACCAGCTCAGAGATCTCACCAAGGCTCTGCCCTTAGAAAGGGTTTTCTCTGGGGGTGCCTGGGTGGCTCAGTTCATTGCATATCCAACTCTTGGTTTCGGCTCAGGTCATGGTCTCAGAGCTGTGGGATCAAGCCCAGCATCAGGCTCCACACTCAGCACAGAGTCTGCTTGAGATCCTCTCTCTCCCTCCCTCTGCCCCTCCCCCTGCTCTCTCTCTCTAAAATAAATAATAAATCTTAAAAAAAAAAAAAAAAGAAAGAAAGGGAAAACCCTCTGTCTCCAAAAGGAAACTCTGGAAGCAGGTTAGAGCAGGGCTAAGAAGCAACAAGGGACATGGATGCTTTGTCTCCCCACTTCTGTCATTCTCTGCCCCCACCATGTCCCACTCAATGGCCTTGCTTCCCATTTCTCTCCTCTCCCCAACCTGATGCCTTCCTCTTCCTTTGGCCCAGCTCACTCTTCTCTCCCCAACCCATCTGCCTCCCCACTTGCTCACCCGCCAACCTCTCTGTGCTCCCCTCTCCTTTTCCTTCTCCCCACCCCTTCTCCCCTCACCTCTTCCTCTTTTTGCTTCTCCTCTAATTCCCAGTAGGTCGGGTGCTCGTCCCCTGTGGGGGTTTTGACCCTGGGGTCCAGGAGGGAGGAGGGCACTCAGGAGCACACCCCTCCACTCAGCCTCGCTTTCCCTGTATCCTAGGAGACTGAAAACACTGCTCAGAGAATGCGACTCGGAACCCACGTGTTCTAGGTCTTGGTGTGGCCTCTGGCGTCTGAAGGTAGGATGGGAAGGACGTCACAGCTGATGCGGTGCAGTGCGGAGAGAAGGAGCCAAGGACTGGGAGTGGGAGCAAGAGCAAGAGAGGAGGAGCAGAGGATGAAGGCTGAGACTAGGAGACTTGAGTGCTCACTGTTCACTCCTGGACGCGGACGTGGAGATCCTCAAGGACACAGATAATTACCTCTCTAAGATAGGTGAGAGAATAAAGACATAAAAGAAGGTGGGAAGTGGCCAGGGCTGCCCGGTAAGATTTGGTCCTCAACTTACAGGTGGCTGGAAGAGATGGACTTCGGCAGAGTTGCCAAAGGTGCCAATGGCAGTACAGTGAAATTCGGGGTGTCTCAGGGCTGAGGGGCAGGAAGAAAGAGAATCATTATGTCTACGCTCTTGCTTCTGAGCAGGATTATTGGGTGACTTCATTCACAGAAAGAGGGCAGAATGGCTCTGGTCATAGGTAGCCTTCCGAATGTTAAAGCTTCAAGACTCTTTCTTTCATAACTCATCCGATCCAGAGGTTCCTGGCTATACTGATATCCCTAGGTCAAATAGGGATTCCTTAGCGCCACCCAAAAGGACAGAGCTCAGGAATATTTATTTTAAAAAAGAACCCCTACTACACAAGCAAGTCTGGGAAACGCTAAATTCCTTTTTTTTTTTTTTTTTTTTGAAACCCTAAATTCCTACCACAGATCGGGAAGCTGCTGTCCAAAGTCACGTAGCTGGTTAGCGGCAAAATCAGGACTAGAAGCAGGTGCTCTTCCCAGCACAGCATTTGCGCATGCCAACAAACTGCCCTAGCCCATGGAGCAGGCTAAGAACAAGTATAGAGCTCAAACCTGGGCTCTTTCTAAGAAAATCTCATAACTCTATTGTTTCTATGATCTTCCCTGGGTCTTCGGTAATCCTCAACATTCTGCTAATGAATCTATTCTACTCCAATTCCCTCTCTTCCCTTACTAGGATGGGGCTCACTTCTGAGTGGTAGCTAAGAGGTCCCCATGTAAGGGGTGACTGCCACAGCCAGGAGGAAGGCTGCAAATCAAAGGGCTAGAGAGAACCAGGAGGAGGTGGGAGCCTTGCAGACGTGTTAGGGCTAAGGAGTCCAGGGTACAATTTAATCAGGGGGGATAAACATGTGGCGGACAGAGTCAGGGACTCAGGCAGGGCAGAGCTTGGGGCAGAGGCTGGTCAGAGCCTCCGGGCCCTTACCGTGGGCAGGATAGCGGTCCTGTGTCTGTGAGCTTGTGCGATGCTCTCTCCTGTGGGACGAGGAAACCCAGCTGGGCTCTTTCTCTCCTCTCTCGCTCGCTCGCTCGCTCACTGGCTTCCTCCCCTTTTCTACCGCAGTTTGCTGCTGTGACTGGCAGACTTGCAGCCAAAGGGAAGGAGTAGGGAGGGGAGAGGTGTGAGCTCTTCCAACTCTTAAAGGCCCAGGACACTGGTCAAAGGGAGGGAGTTTTGCGGGAGGTGGGGTTGAGACAAGGATTAAAGGAGGAGGAGCCCGGCTGCCCTTCAGTTTGATGCCAGCCCTCAATGACCCCAATCCTGCAGTAGCTCTCCCGGTGAAACCCAAGGAGTGTCTGAGTTGCGGTGCTCCGTGAATCACTGCTTTTCATTCCGCACGGTTTCTCCCTGCATGTCACACAGCTGTCTTTGCCCTGATTTCATCTGGCTCCTTTCCAGGGCGTCGGTTCCACTGGCCGGCTTCTGTGTCTCTGCGTCCTGCCTTGCAGGGCACTCAGTCTAGCTCTGTGGCACAGGGTAAGGAAAAAAGAACCAGGACGGGGAAGGAGGAAGATGAGGAGAAAGGGAGGAGAGGAATGATCCTAGAGGGCAGAGGGACGGGTTAGTTAGTATCTCTGTATATTTTGGGCACTCGCTAAATATTGAAGGAATGCATACCTAAAT